AAATATTTTGCATATAAATCAAATCGATGGAAATTTTCGGGACAAAGCAAAGGTGCCATGTGTGTGTGCCGCAGACAGTGCAGGTGGGGTAGGGGAAAAGGTAAGGGCGGGAGAAGGGGTTTGGATTTGCCAAGGCAGCTGGACAAGCGGGGTGCCAGCAGGAGGGCCCAGTGCTGCCAACTATAAATTAGGAAAAGCGCCCAAACAGGCCGTTTCTCGTTTCAAATAAAATATTTATTATGATTTCATTTGAGCTAAGTTTAAGCTGGAGCTATATATAGAAGAGATATATAAAAGAAAGGATATTTAACAGCTTCCTTTAAACTCTTTTACGTAGATATAAAGTTTATTTTGTTTCAAAGTCATTGGAATGGTTGACAGTTTTATGACCGCCATATAAACGCCATTAAAATGCTAACAAAAATGTGTAAAATTGTTAACAAAGCGCTGAATGATTTTAACATTAAAAAGTATTCATAATTCCTTGTAACCTTCGAGTAAATTAAGTAAAGACTGTCCCAAATAAGTCGAATAGTTCAGCATTCTAAGTCGTTCTTAAGAAATTATCCTATTTGATGTGAAAACTTCAGACGAAATATGCAAAAAGCATTTCCCATATTATGGCTACATACAAATCTCCCTTTAGCTAGTCTCTAGCCAAATGCACAGCAGTGGGTGTGGGTGGCCTTTAAAGCCAAGGGTCGACTGGTTATGTCGAGTGTTTTGTGGCTCGGATGCGGATATGGATGTGGATATATGCAGATGCAAATGCCCCGACACAAATTGCGAGGAGTCGCACTACTAAGTTGGCCCTGCTAGCTGGGCGATCACGTAGCCATAAGCGTGCATAACTCCCAATCTGTCGGCCGATCATGCGAAATGGTGTGTGCCACACACACAGCCTGTGGCAGGTCCTCGGGGAATGTCCTGCGACTACGTTCGGTAATCACGCGTGACGTCTCAATTTTGTACTGGATTATTTGCTTACATCAGCACGTATTGATTGATTGATGGGGGTAGTATTTTATTTTCACGGAATTAAATGGAGGATGGGGAATGGTAGAAACCTACTTCGTAGCAGGATAAGGCACTGATAAAGTAGGTAGTAAAGAGTGTTTTTTATCTTTAAATTTGATTTACATTGATAAGAAATTGGATGTTATTTTTGTGGTAAGAAACGAAAGAAGAGTTCTTTCCCATCAAAAGGACTTTTTCTTGACATGCATTCTGAGTTTGAGCCAAATAGTAATGGAAACCGTAGGATAATGAAGATCTCTGGCCGGGGAAGATGTCCTGTCATCCGACCCCCTGGTCTTATTTCCCTGAAAGCCCGCAAGCACGTGGAAAAGGATAATGGATAATGGTCATTCGGATGCACATATGTCCTGGCCGCTGGTCCACCTTCATTTACATCATTTGGCGGCTCCTAATGCAATGGAGAGCCCAAGGAAGCCCCACGAAGGATGCGGGGATGTGGCATGCAACATTTCGTTTACGTCGAGTGCACTTTCGGTCACATTTATTACACAATTCCAATAAATAACATTTCGCAGGGCTTCCTGCCTGCTGGCTGGCTGGCTGCTGTTGCTCCTTTCTGGCCAGCTCCTTCCAGACAGCAGCACATTCACTCACTCACACTTGCACTCACTCACACACACACACACACCCTCACAATGGCAGAACTCGCAGGACACACGGACACGGACACCGCACGTCGGCAACGATTTTCTTTATGGTATTTACAACGACATCGTCAGCTCGTCATCGTTTTGCCGCTGGCCCATCGGTGGCGGCGGGGAGAGATTTCGAGGAGGTGGGCAGAAGGGGCAGAGACATGGAGAGTATTTTATTTACGAGTATTTTCCAACACTCACACACTCCACCGCAAATAAAAGGATGCCCATGGCAAGGAGCGAAGCTGGGTATACCCTAATCAAGTTCAAAATCATTCTCAAAAGTTAAGCTGTGTATTTCTCCGACTAATGGCCAAAGAAGGCAAATTAAGAAAATATTTAAAAATCATTCTAGTAATGCCTTCTTATAAACTATAGAAGGACTATATGAGAATTTTAAATATAGCTAAGTAAGGGAATATTTATTGTAAGAATCAGGAGTTGATACTTCCAAATGAATTTCCAGTTAACTTGCTTATGGATGTAAATTAACATGTATGTTATCAGATCCCACTCAGATAATACTATAACAATTTAAATAAATTAGGTAAGAACATAGATTAGCCAACTTGTAATGGAAACGAGGCCGAGTTTTGGAAGGGTATTAACAAACGAGAAGCGGAAAAGAAGAGGCTGCAGTAAGAGGATCCTGCAGGATGCTCAACTGCTCGCTCTTCCCGTGTATGTTTCTGCAATAAATTTGTGTGCTTTATTGATATTTTATATGATTTTATTCCATGCTTATTCCATTCGGTTATCGAAGTACTAGCATCAGCAGCAGCTTCAGCTACAGCATCCTTCCCGCTTTTCGGCTGCCAATGCACTTGAAGTGCTGTAAATTTGCCATTTAATTGACAGCCGATTCATAATTGCATTGTTCTGCCTTGGCCGGCATTAAATCGGACTTTGTTGCCGCAGTTTGAATTTAAATTCAGCAGCTTCGACTGCTGCATTCTGGCGCTTCTCGTCCGCTTCTCGTCGTCTACCGACTGCCGTCTGCAGTTTGCAGTCCGCACTGCATATTTATGAAGTTATTGCAATGCCAACTGGCATAAACATATTCATCGGGTGATGTGGGGGACTGTTTGATTTGCCACTCTAACGAACAGGCTGTGTGTAGATGGTGTGCCATCTATGGCATGGGTGGGGTGTTTACACATATATAGGGTGTATATACATACATATACATATATATATATATAGGGTGTGCTGCCAGAAGTGCACATTGTTTGCTATGCAAACTTTGCCAGTCGCTGCTGCTTCGGTGGCTTCTGCGACTTCAGTGACTCCTGCTCCTGCTCCTGTTTCTGCTCCTTCCAAATCCTCCTACTTCTGGCCAAATATCAATAGCACGGCGAGGGGTGTGGAGACCCAAACGGCGAGCCGCACTCCACTTGCATATTTATGTTGCACATGATTATGTTTAATTTTCAACCGATTCCCCGCCCCCGAGGCTAACGAATTTTCCCGCAGTCAAGAGTGGAATACCAAGTTTTTCAATAGACAATATAGGGAAAAAGGGTCTGGAATTTATTCCAACTACCAATGTATATTCCTCTCAGTTGGAAAGCCACTTGAGGCCACTCTCGGCATTGGTACTGTTTTCTGAGATCATTATTCACCATTTGCCATTTTCAAGGATTTGTGTTTTAAGAACATTTAAATTCCCACGTCATCTGAGCCTGGGCAAACTTTCGAAAATAAAAACGGGGGAGACCTTCGTTTAAAATCTGCACAATCAGCAAAAAATATATATATGCACCATAGATATATCTCGACAAACGGCAACTACACAACAATCAAGGGCGAATGCGACTACGAGTACACTACAGAATTGCAATCAAGAACCGAACCGATTTCCCTGGCAGTTAAGTAATTGACCAATTCCAGAGCACCACTCGATTGTCAGCCATTCGAGTTTGCGACAATATCGATAACCTGTCACAATATCGTTAGCCTTGATGGCCGTTGCAGTGTTTCCTCCACTTTTATGTCCTTTTTCGTCCTTTTGTTAACTGCCCAGTCCATCCTCGGGCCAACCTCCTGGCCATCGAATCGTTCAATCCATTTTCGCCAGCCCCATGGCCAATGTCACAAATTAAAATTTATTTTCTGACAATTTTTATTTAAAGGTTTCGGCTTGCCGGTCACCACTCCGCCCATCCGCCCATCCGCCCATCCGCCCATCCGCCCATCCGCCCATCTGCCCATCCACTCGTCCACTCGTCCGCTCCTGAATATTTGAAACTGGTGTCTGGGCACCAGCTGGCATCCTGCAGCAGCGGCAAATAAACAAATGCAAACAATCCAGCGAACGCGCTGCAGTTCGAGCTTATTTCCAATCCGTGGCAGCAGATTTAAGCCTTTGGTAGGCTATTTGCTATTTTTTATATTTTTATATTTTTTAAAAACAATATTCAGCAAGGCAATTATTATGTTGTATGCTATATATCGCCTCGCATTAACTTTTTTTTACTTACATTGCTGGCTAACATTTGGGCCAAGTTTATTATAAGTGTGGAGAAACGTACTTGGAAATGATGGCGATAAAATACAATTTATTTATCAAAAACAGATTTATAATCAAGCAAATGCCAAAGAAAGGGCATGTGGGGAACGACCTGACCCTGACTCCACATCCTTGCCAGTTGTTATCCTTTTTATTGTTGTTCTTGTCACATTTATGCACACTTAATGGCAGCGACAATCGACCTATGAATGTTCTTAGCCTTGGCCATCCTGCGAGTGGGCGTGTGGGGAAATGTTGGTGGGTGTAGGGTGGTTTAATGGGAGGGAAAAGCCGTCGGAAGAAGGAACACAGGATCAGGCAGGACGAGCAGAAGCTGCTGCAGCTCCACACAATGCGCAATAATGGCAAGTAGGGCTAAATGATAGAGCGATAATTCGAGCAGAAAATACCCTTTAATATATACTGGAAATAGCACGTTGAAGGTCTTTCAACATATATAAACTTAATTCCAAGAAATGTACATTTTATGATACTTTTTACTTCTCGAATAAGATTGGCTTTTACCTGTTTTTAGTTACCAACTCTATATTTTTAAGATATTTAAAAATAATTACTATAAACATCTGAAAAGACTATGCAAGTGTAAATTTCAAAATTGGTTGCCAATTCCACGCCTAAAACAAACTTTTTCTCAAGTTCTTGGCCTTTGCAAATATGTGGACAAGTATAGACAATCTATTAATTTTCTAACCATTCCTATGACAGCCATAAGACAAATTTGGTTTTTAAAAAACTGAAATCCTAAATCAAATCCCTTTCTATCAGAAAGGCAGAGTGCAAGTTTAAAACGAACAAAGTTTTAATTTTGCTCATTGAATCGGTTTATTGGAGAATCTTGTAGAATCCCTTAATCCTCATCACTTAAATCTTCGAAGGCCGAATATCTTGAACGATGGCACAGGGCAGTAAGGCCATAGATGTAGCGAAGCTCGTGACGCCAAGTTATCTTCATGCAGTGGATACAATCCAGACGGTCCCCCCAGCGGCGGCGAATGCAGTTGTCCCCGAAAATATGGCCACACTTCATGGCCACCATACGGTGTTCGCCCTCTGCATCGATTGGCGCAGCGCAAATACCACACATATTGGCATTGCGAATATTTGTTAGCTTGATACTTGCTCGGGACAACACATTTTTTTTCTCCACGAGGGCCTTGTTCTCCTTTAGAATCTCTTCTTTTTCCTGCTCCATTAGCGCGACTTTCTCCTGAAGCTCCTCCGATAAGGCCATCTGAATGTCCAGTTTCTTCTGCAGTTCATTTCCCTCGGAGGCCACCACCGATGCGCCCTTCTGCTTCTCTCCGTTATTGGTGTCTACATTGCGGGTATTCCTGTTTATAGCCGCAGTCTTCCTCTTCTTAGTCCCAGCGAGATTAGCGGAAGTCTTGTCTTTGTCGCTTGCAGCTTTCGGCTTCATTTTCTCAGATGCTTTCTGGGCTTTCAGTCCGGCTATGTAACTTTAAAAAATAATAAGTTCTTTGATTTTTGAATAATATTTCTGAAAAACTAACCAGTTACTCCGAGAAGAATAAAAAATATGGGAAACCCATATGCGAAGCTGTCAGAGCCGTAGAGCTGGAAAACAAAAGCACTATCGATGTTTCTTTGCTTTTCTAAACATCGATTGTTTTTGGCCACTACTTTTACTTTATGATATTTTGATGTGTAGTGAACATCGGTGGTGTTTATTGTAGGAGCTGGGCAAAAAAAAACACGTGATCTCAAATAAAAAACGGAATTCGTTGCAGTTACAGAGCTAAAAATAAGAAACTAGATGAAGTGGTTAATTTATATTTTTATGCTTTATCTGAAAACATCGATGGTCCCAAACATCGATTGCTTCCAGCTCTAGGAGAAAGACCTATTGATGCTTATCGGGGCTTTGCAAGAAAATACTATTTGAGTACCCTGAAAATACTATGATTATGGTTAATAATCATAATCATATCGATTATCGATAGTTGTCTAAGAGAAGTAGAATTAAGACATCTAGTAAAGCTTCGTCCTTGAATAGTTTTACTTGGAAACTGAACGATAAGATTGAGTATATCGACTCTAATGAATAATCTTACCATATAGGAAAAACTATTGTAGAACTTCTCCGTAAAGTATAATGAGTCTTCAGTTAAAAAGTCACATATTTCATTATGATAAAGTGAAGATACCCTGCGACTTCCCCCTTTACTGGGTATGCAAACAATAATGGGGAATTGCGTCACCCCCCAAGCCGATGTGCTACCCTTTTCCGGGTATTTTTCGGGCTCGGTTTCCAGTTTTCAGGGATGAGGTTGCGGAGGGAGAGGCTCTTTTTGGTCATTTTGGTTGGAGCATATTGAAAAATTGTTGTTGTAGGAAAAACCCATTTGGCTATTGTTTGTCATACTTTGGACGGCAGCCGTTGCCGTCGCTTTTCCTGCTTTTCCTGCTCCTCCCGCCATTCCTACCGTTCCTGTTTTTCCAGCTTTTCCTGCTGCAGTGGATTTTCAATAAATGACTTATGTGTATACACCGCGGGGCTAACTGTTTTCCATGTCCGTATGTGTGTGTGAGTGTGGGATGTCCTCATCCAACCCACCGCCTACCATCCATGCTTTTCCGCCCCCACCCTTTACCAATGCCTCCTTTCGTTGTTTCGTTGTTCCGTTGTTTGTGCTTTTAACGAGCCCAGCTGCGTGCCGGTTGCGAAAATCGCTTTTAAAAATAATAACAATGTTGTCCGCCACCACTGCCAGTTAACCGCTTATCGCCCACACCGCGCAGTTTTAGAGAAATTTCAGCTAAGAGGGGTTAATGAAATTGGTCAAGCCATTTAGTGGGGTCTAATGGGGGGGCCTTTAGACGGAATCAGCACTTCTTCAGATGTGTGTCAGGGCTATAAAGTTCGCCTTGCTTTCGAACCAGGGTCTACCCCAAACACGTAAACAGTGAATATGAGTTAAGTCAAAGTGAGCGTGTGATTTAAACGTCAGTTTGTTCATGATAGAATTTGCCTGCGTTAATTCGTCATAAGTGTGCGTTGTCGCGTCGGCGTAGCGTCGAGCAATAGAAAGCAGCACAAAGCCACAGTAACACCAAAAACAGCGACGCTTGGCGAAAGAGAAAAACAAAGAGGAGATCAGAAGCAGACTCCATCTTACAAGGCGAAGAAACGAATTACTGTTTATTAACAGCGACGCTTGGCGAAAGAGAAAAACAAAGAGAAGATAAGAAGCAGATTCCATTTTACAAGGCGAAGAAAGAAATAAACAGAGGAACACGAGATGACCACTTTCAATATCCCCCAAGATATGAGCAACAAGGAGAATCCGGTTAACTTGATTACGGCCGGAGTCAAAAACGCCAAGCAACCGCCGGCCGTAATAGGCAAATCGGGGAAGAATGCGCTTGCGCCGCGGGCAGACTTCTCCGTACTCAATGACAACAACAACAACACCAACTATGTGCCGCGTCCATCCCGGAAAGAGCAACTCTTCAGTGACGTACATAACCACTATTACGATGAAAATGTGGTACCGGTGGTGGAGCAGTTTAAGACCTTTTCCGTATACGAGGATAACTGCGACACCCAGGTTGTACCATCTGGGAAATCGAAGGCATCTGTAGCCGATAAGGCTGCCATTAGATTTGATGCGGTGGAAAATGTGGTGGTGGCCTACGACCTGAATTCCACGCCCATGTCCGTAACGGATGTCCTATCACCTATGTCCATAGACCGTTCCATTCTCGGTGTCATTCAGTCGAATAATAGTAGTGACCAGAACACGGGTGCCACGCCAGGTGGGCAAGTAAAGGAGTCGCCGCCGCGGAATGAACGCCAGCGGTTCTTCGAAGTGGTCCAGTACCAGATGGATATACTGGAAAACTTCAGGCTGACCGAGAAGAAACATCGCCCGAAGCCAATGTATATGCGTAGGCAGATGGACATCAATCACAATATGCGGTCCATCCTGATTGACTGGCTCGTAGAGGTTTCTGTGACGTATAACCTGGACACGGAGACGCTGTACCTTTCCGTCTTTTATTTGGATCGTTTCTTGAGTCTGATGGCGGTGGTGCGCTCCAAGTTGAAGTTGGTGGGCATAGCAGCCATGTGTATTGCCGCTAAGTACGAGGAGAACTATCCCCCGAAGGTGGATGAGTTGGTCTTCCTTACTGACGGCAGCTACACCAAGGCGCAGGTGCTGCGTATGGAGCAGGTCATCCTGAAGAATCTCTGCTTCGATCTGTCCACGCCGACTGCCTATGTCTTTATCAACACGTTCGCAGCGCTGTGCGACATGCCCGAGAGGCTTAAGTTTTTGGCCCTGTACATATCTGAACTGTCGCTAATGGAGGGAGAAACCTACTTGCAATACTTGCCCTCACTGATGTCGTCTGCTTCGCTGGCATTGGCGCGTCATGTTCTAGGCATGGAGATGTGGACGGCACAACTGGAGGAGATCACCACCTACCAGCTGGAGGACCTGAAAACCGTTGTCTTGCAGCTGTGTCACACCCACAAAACGGCCAAGGAGCTTAACACTCAGGCCATGCGGAAAAAGTACCATGGGGACAAGTACAAGAAGGTTGCTATGATCGAATCTATTGAGATGACCCAGGACGACTTTGATCAGCTCTGCCAAGCTTACGACACCAAGCAAAACGAGAAACACCAGCAGCTGGTCAAGAATTCTAAATCTAACGCCATGGAATTTTAGTTTGTCCTATTTCGCAGTTTTCGTTTTAAATGTACGTAAAGGAGGAGTAGCAGTTCGGTGACACCTCACAAATTGTATCATAGCTCGGCATTGGTTGGTTGGTCGTTTTGGCAAGCTCCCGTAGAACGCACTGGACATATGTATGCCATATGAAAGGTTGAAGGCCAACTAACTACGTTAACTTTTCACACCAGCATTCACCGGCAGTCTCAGAAAACTAACCGCAGTACAAGGAGCTAAACGAAATCGAGAAACTCATCCGGCTTTTGGATCTTTTATATATTACGTTACGTTTCATAAATCGTTTCTTCTTTGTATTTTTATGTATTTATAAATTGAGTAATATGTGTAAAATGTGTCTTTAGTACGAACAGCTTGTACGGATAATTATTTTACCTAAACATATTTATAAGCTAACTATTAGTCCTTGAAGGTTCTATGAATCCTTACATGGAATGGGCTTAATAATTGCTTTAGTAAGTTGTGACACAGATGATTTAAGAAGATTCCCTAGTTATTGTTTATGAACAAGAGGTACGTTAAGAGGTTTCAAAAAGATAAAGGTATCACAATCAACGATCCAAACGTACTTCAACGAGGTGAAACAACGAGGTGTGCGAGGTGAAATTATATTAAGCGGAGGTCATAATCAAGAATATATATGCCTTCTACGTAGTATAAACTTTTCAACACTTTGCAATATTCTAAGAAAATATAAGAAAGCTAAAGTTATGTGACTCTATAAAATAGTAGTCGGAGAATATTGGGGGCTGTTAGTGACCAAATGTTTAAATCTTCCAGTTTAAATAGTTCCTATTAGTGAATCATAATTAGTCGATAAGCCTTCAACATATGCCTAATATTGTTCTTTAAAAACATTTCTGACTGCTTTTTACCTGACAAATTGCAAGTCAGTTTTAGCAAGTGCCAAAAGTATTCGAGAACTGCGTTCTTATGCAAATTCCTTTCAAGTTTTCCAAGTCAAGCATTTCCAATTGCCGACATGTTCATCGTGCCATACGACTCCCCGGAGATCAATAAGGAAAGCCCCGTCTGGCTGGTCGTTATGACAGAAACTGTTAGAAATGCAGGATTCTGTTTTTCTTGGGCTTAAAGTCGTGCAATTATTTGTGGAATTACTCGAGGACACCGCCGCTCTCTTCAGCTTAATTGACTGGCTTTCCCAGGACTTTCCATTCATTTGGCTTTTGTTTTCCTTTTGCTCTGCAGTTATAGTCGACGCTGCTCCTTCATATACATATATATTTTCCCTGTTTTTTCTGTTTTTCCAGCTAATGAAAACATTTGCCGGAGCAGAACGAATGCGAGTAGTTATTAAAATATTTTCGTCTGTGTCTGCCAATGACATTTACAGGCTCTGTAACTAGCAGTCCGTGCAGGACACTCGAACACACTCAAACACACACACACACATAGTCATGTGAGCCGGCGACAGAAGCCATTTTGTTTGGCTGATGTCGGTATGTGGGTATGTCGGTGATGGGGTGCCACACGGGGGCGTGGGCTGGAAATGGAGGAGGGGCAGAACTGCTTTTGGGGCTTGTTTGCTTTAAAGTGCAACTTATTTACCTGTAAAGGACCAACTGAAATGCCTCCCCCTCCCCCTGGAAAACCTCGTTCATAGGCCCGCATAAATGACGCACTGCATGGATCCCTTTTGGCAGAATGTCCTGCTGCCGCCGCCCACTTTGCACGCCATCTCTTCGGCTTTGCCCTGCCTGTTTGGCATACCCTTTGATCTGTAGAGCGTATAGATTGGCAATAAAATTAAAAGAAGTAATAAGTATTAAATATATTTTTACAACATACCAAGCAAGGGTTGATAGAGAGAGAAGAGCAGATTGATTTTTTAACAACAAATATTGGTCGTCTTGAAAACTGAAAGATATTACTTACCATCCTGTTCCTATACCATTGGAATACAGAAATATCTATACTCTTGTCCCCAAAACAGGCTTTCTTATTACACAAACATCGAATGGATTTTGCCATGACTTTCGATCTATGAAAACTTTTCTAACGTAGCCCTCTACTCTCTAAGTCTACTTCATAGGGATTTGAAATGCTTTGAAAGATCATGTTGAAAATATTATTGTTTGTTTCTACTTTAATGAAAATAGTCATATTCTGAGTTAGAATATGTTATTTATTTTTATTTTACCCAATTAGGCCATGCTTACTCGACTTATATTAAATTAAGAGGTTTTACAGGCACTGGAACCGACACTCCTTCGATCCCACTAACATCGCAAGTTCACTAAGTGCCTTTTCATATTTTTTACTTACTTAAACTTAACTAGAGCATTTCCAGGGTATCTCCGCGTCGATTGTTTGCTTTTGTGGTTTACAATTTTTGCCGCCTTCCCCGGTTTCCCCCTCCTCTCCCCTCTCTCACGACCGCCTGTTGGCATTTTAGCCTTTGTCCTGTGTGTGTTTATGCTGATTTTAATCAACGATTTTAACGTGCGCATTTGTTTGTCATTTACAGTTATTGCTGCATAAACACACAGCCAGGTAGACCTTTATTGGCTGCATAAACAGGTGCGAGGAGCGAGGGACTTTCGTTTGCATATTGCACATTTTCACACAGACATTTTTTCAATAGACACTTTTCATTGCTCAATATTAAACGGAAAAAAAACAGGGGAAAAATCCTGCTTGGTTTTTTCCCATCGCCGGCCTTCCGCCAAATTAAATAGAATTATTAAACAAATAAAGCGAAAACAAATTAAAACGCATTTAAAATGGTTTCCGCCAAATGAAATTAAGTACAAATTTAATAATAACTCGATATTTAATTGAAGAGAAATCGGGATGAGTTGATGTTTGTTTTTCCCGGCCGATTCCAGCGATTTTTGATTCCGGGGCTTCATAAACATAATATACAGGGACTGTCATAAAACGCAGACCCAGTTTTTCACGATGATTTCCATTTTCCAATAGTAAAATTTAAGCGGCTTCCTTTGGCATGGCAAGAGTAGGGAGGGTGGCAGAACAAATGACTGCCAGCACAAGTAAATCAATTGGCTGCCATTTGTATGCGTAACATGGGCGGAGTACCGCCCCCTCTCATTTTTGCCCCCCATATTTTTTCAACATTTTCCCGAACAGCTGAACAGCTGCTGCCATAAATATGGCCGGGGAGGGAGCGTTGGAAAAACGAAAAACCGGAACCGAAGGAGACCCGCACATGAGGGGGTCTTTAAGGTGTAAGTCAAACTAGCAGGCGTGGCACACTGCCCCTTTCCCAAGCCCCCTCCTTCCCCACCAACCTGCCAACGCCCATGGCAGCTAGTGATGTAGCAGCATTTTATGCGCAAATGCAAATTAAATTTTCACCGAATTGCAAAGGGAAAATCGCTGGGAAAACGCCTTGCCACGCGGCCAGTGGCAAGAATGTGGGCGCTACAAAATGTCAGGGTAACTGCAAAATCTTGACAGGAACTGAAATTTGGCCCTCTAACATTGCAAAAGATTTAAAGGTGGCTAAAAGTGAACTTAAAATACAAATTTGCATAGTTTAAGGCGAGCTAATAAGTGTCATTTAACCAAAAAAAGTAACTAAGAAAGGAGTCTAGGAGTATGATAGGTTCACTCTGACTTAAGAATATAAACTTAGATATTTTTACCCCCTAAAAATGATTCAGGATTTCGGTTTAGCAGGGTATTTTGTGGTCCCCATTTCTAGCCCCCTTTCGCGGAACTTTCTTTTTCTTGCCGGATTTGGCATGTTGTTTTTCTGAGATGTTATTGAGGCTGGCTCACGTTTTTGTGGCTGTGTTTTTGGGTTTTTGTCGGGCGCCTCCTATACGTTTTATTGTTGCTTAAAATTTACGCCAAGAGCAATAAAATATTTTAATGGCCACATAAAATGCTGCAGCATTTGTAAATAAATCGGGGAGTGAAAAACAGAGGGGATGGCGGAATCTTGTCTTTGTAGCAGATTTTACATTCCCTTTTTTCCCTTTTCCCTTTTACATTTTTTATGGCCGCCCGAGCAATTTGGCAAATGAAAATCGCACACGCGCTTATAAACGCACTGAGCAGTGAATTTCCCTTCAAACACTTTCTATCGTGTTGTGTTGTTGTTGCTTGTTTGATTGTTTGCTTTGTTGCTTTGTTGCACCAACAATGGGATGTAATTAAAAAGTTTCCTCAAGAAATTCAATCAGCCAAACTCTGTCCGCCCCCCCCCCTGCGGACACGCCCACAATGTAAACAATGAAGCCAATTAAACGCTCATTAAGTGCGCAGTTCCAAGGATAAAAAGTCCTGGAAGGAGCCATATCCTCCTCATCCGCATCCGCCTCCGCATCCTCATCCTCGGCGCCATCATCATCAGCGTCTCGAGTTAATTTTTTAAAGCACAGCTTTGGGCGCTCAGGTGGATAAAACGCAAAAACAACAGGTGAAAAGCGGGTAGAAAATGGGTGATAAAAGCAGCAGCTAAAGTGCAGTGAAAGGTAAAAGTTTCGCCAAAAACTTACTCGTATTCAGCTTTCTTCGCCGTCCCGTAAATTCGCCTCTTACACACCGAATTTTCCTTCTCCTAGTTTCCATCCGAACTCCCCAGTGAAATGCAAACCGTTTTTGCTGCTTAAGCCCAAATGAAGTTAATAAACACACTTGCAGGCCAAACAACAACACAGACCGGAAACGGATATCGCAACCCCCAAGATTCACCCCGAAACTCGGCGCCTGGAGCCCTTCGATTTGGATTGAATTTCAATTTCGGCAACAGTTTAATTTCAGGGTGCGATTGATGTATTTAACTGAGTTGTAAAGCGAATCAGGTTAAAATGATTTAAGGGGTTCATTCATTAAAACAATTAAAATAACTTTGTTTACTTAATTCCTGAAATAATAATGCACCTTCCATTTGTTTTAAGGTAATCCTCGTTTGCTATAACTTTAAGTGCCTTTAAGTCTTTTTTAAAATGTCACCCCGTTTCTTTCACATTAGTTGATGGAAAATGCTCATGCATTAAAGACAAAGGAATTTTCCACCCATTTGGTTCCTGCCATTGCCATCCATTGTCGATGCTTACCTTCGATGTAGATTAGCATATGTCTTCATCGCTATCCTCATCCACATCCACATCTCCATCTCCATCTGAATCCGCCAGCGGATTCTATCAGCCATCCATTTGCACCCTGTCCCAAGTGCCATGCCCCCTCCGTGTCGCCTTGTTTGGCATTTAAAGGTAAGCAGCTAAGTGGCAAG